TAACATAGTGTGTGAGAAGTTGGGAAAGAAAGTCGTTAAGCATTGAAACGAGCTCAATAGTTGCTTCATAAGATGTGTATGCACCAATTAGAGTAACACGGTAAGGAGATTTAGGTATAGCAGGATAAGACTTACAAATGCATCAGCAATCAACCCTTTTTCTCCTGAGAGCACACATCTAAGCATCTCGGCGTTGTATTATGGACCTCCACCTCTCAGGCTTTCAAGAGTGCAGCGAGGGATGCCAAAGTCCACTAGAGAGAGACAATCTTGAAAAACTACTGAAAAAATGTTAACTGGTTCTGATATTGACAAGTTACTTACATGGATCGAAAGAGAATTTCTCAATTTTATCTGGAGTAACGTGACATCAAGGACTAATCCAGGACCTGTAGAATTACCTCATTATTATGAACAGATTGTGACTTAACAGATTTACTTTCTTTTTAGTAAGTTACACTTAAAAGGATTTACTATAATTGCAACAGGGAACAATACCAAGAGGACTCATCTCATCTAGACCTTCCGAATGAACAACAACCAGTGCTCTTTTCATGAAAAACCTTTCGACTGCTTTAGCCATTTTTGTCGACCTAAAGAAAGGACGTGTTGATTACAAAATAGATCTACATAACACTTGGCACAACCACTGGAACAAGTCGAACAACTATGAACTAGAAGTCCAAAACAGAGAAGATGAGAAGAATTAGCACCTCAATATTCAGAATGATGTGTACAAGATTCTTATAACCACATACTCGGAGCTTTATCGTGACAGTGTAATTGGAAGTTGAAAATTTACCAGGTTTCCTTTGTAAACTCCAACTACAGCAAAAGGCACTCTTGCTGGATTTAACATGGGTCCAAGGATGTTGAATACAGTCTTTACTTCCAGCTTTTTCCTAATAGGTCTAACAATCTTCATTGCCGGATGGTAGATTGGAGCCATCATGAAATCTATTCCAGCCTGAGCTACACACTCTTTTACTCCTGAACCCAGTAACATTGACAAATAACCAGCATCATCAAATTAGAAAATCAAAGATAATGAGTAATTCTACTGATCCATAGGCTATAGGACAGTTTTTAGTTAATTCTTGACTAGTAAGAAAGCACGATGATCTTAGGCTGCCTATAATTTCTTTTAAAGGTTATATTTTTATCAATTTGAGGAATTTCGTATACAAGCAGTTGTTCACAACAAATTTTCGTAGGCGCTGATTGAAGAAGCACAAAGCTCTATCGATCAGTATGGAGATGTGGGAACTACTACTGATTCTTTCTGGTGTTTTTTCTTTTCTATCATCCTCATGCTTTCTCTTTCTTGTCTTTTTTCCAATTGATTCAATATTAGTATATGTTGTATAATTTGGGTTCTACCGAAATTTTACTTCGAAAATATGTCTATAAAATATCTAATTTAGTGAAGAGAGGCGACAACCGACAACTAATTGGATTGTATGAAAGATGTACCAATGTTATTAGTCGGTTACCACTCCGAAGAAATTAAAACTTCAAAAATCTACACAATTTGGCATGTCAATCTCACCACTTAATTAAGTTAATAAGAACATATCACGTTAAGTTTTACATTTTGCATAAGTTAATGCATTGGAACTAGTGAACAATGTATACGTATTGCTTATAGAATAAAAAGGCCTAAATTGAGACAAAGGTGGAAATTGCAATAAGAATAAGCAGGTTATATTTAGTTGCAAAATCTTAAATTATACAGTAACTTGAAGAATCAAGTTTTCTCTATATGTGTACATACATAACAATTACTAACATACAATCAATTTCTTCATTCTTCATACAAAACTTGAGATGATGCAACATTGATATAAGTTGCACTTATATGTTCTTTCTGGTAAACACATTTGAACTACGTCTCTGTCTTCTTTGGATCAATCAAACACTAGAAAGCGACTTTTTCCCTACAGTCCAAGTGTGGCGGAGAGCTTCCAGATGGCAATACATTCAACAAGTCCTACATATTATCAGAGCAGGATTCATGTTAACAAACTAAATCAGTTTTTCAAATATTTAACATTTGTTAGTGCATACCATACCTGTTAGTGCATCCATTAACGACCAAGTTCTTCTGTGCGAAGCTGAGTGGACTGCACAAAATGTTCAATTTTGTTAAACATGTGTGATGCAGAACTTGGAGTAATATTTTGACTCTCGAGAAGCAAAAAATTCAACATAGATTAAGAGGAAGGGAAATGTGTATGATCAATCACCTGAATCACAATTGGAAGTAGAATTCCATGATCCACACATACACAAACTGCTAAAATCATTAACATCATAGCCACAAGATCCTCCTGTTGCCTCACAAGCTTTACAAAATGAGTCATCTCCTTCAACTGAATACTTCACTCTTATCCCATAAGACCATCCATGAGGTCCATCCACTCTCAATGGAGCTAAACTATAAGCACTACTATACCCTTGACAACTAAGTTTAGTCAAATTAATAGCCTTAATAGCTTCAAACGAAACTGCACAACAATCAGGTGGACCTGATCCATACACTACCCCCACTTTTTTTGGCCCAATAATATCCCAGCCCGTAAATTCCTGGTGCCACCATTGGGAATAGAAACATGATGGACCGGGGTGATAGATGTCAAGTTTTGTTAAAGAATATTGTTGTAACATTTTCTTCTCTCTGTAATCTGTCATGATAGTTGTTCCAAGTATTGTAATATCAGAATAAGTCTTCATTGTATAAGGTTGCAAGTCATTTCTTTAACCTTCACAAAACATGTAATTGTTTTGAATGAGCTCCCTGTCTCTCATTTATGACATGATGTTTATGCTTATTAACGCCATATGCTTGCTTTTCTTCATGCAGTAAAACATACTGCGGATATTGCACGAGGGTGAAGCAACTTCTTTCCCAGCTTGGTGCTACTTTTAAAGTTATTGAACTTGACCAGGAAAGTGAGTGACTCCCCATTTCAATTGCTTCCAAGTGCTTTATATAACCCTTATTCCACCTCCTTGCTGCAAAAAATGTGTTTTCTTACCCTAGATGTAGTTTTATTGTCATGAAGCAAAAAAATATCCTCTTTTGCTTTGGTCATCTATTTTTTTGTATAGAAAGATTGACATTCAGCAACGAAAAAAAACCTTGAAAATTTCTATTAGGTGATTAGTTTCAATAGTCCAAGGAAGACTAATACATTTTATAGAATGTGCATGCTGATTCCTTATAGTAGGTATTTTTGGGATTATGAAGCAAGGTTCGAATTTCAACAGAGGCAAAAAAGTACTCCCACCATTTCAACTAATGTGTCTTACCTTCTTATTTATTGATCTATTTCAAAAAGATGTCTCTTTCCTTTATTTAGTAAATTTTCAATTTCAACATTCTCATTTACACCCCTAATTACAGTCCCTTATAAGGATGACAGAGAACAATAGATGTCTAACACCACAAAATTCAAAAGATAATTTTGGTGTGCGCTGTAAACAGTTTTAGTAGAAATAACAAAATTCAGAACTCTTCTTGACATTGTTAATAGTTTGTGCACAATGCCATTTGCCTGAACCTACCTAAATCATGGTGGACAAACCTAAGACCTAGGTTGGTGAGGGGCATCAGATCTTGATTGAGTAGGAATTATGCATCTGAATAGTTGTGGTGAGGTGTGAGCAAGCTGACCAGACCTCACAATTATACAAAAAAATGAATTTGGTTCTGGAAGTACATAGAAGCACTAGAACTAGTTTGATCGAGAGATCTGTGTTGCTATAACATGTTTGGTTGCTCATGTCTTCTAATAGATATATCTCGAACTTTGTGGCTTTGTTTTATCTTTGCTCAAAGAGTTCCTGACCCCCCTACAGTTGCTCAAAAAGGCTGTGCTTAATTAGTTCCTCCCATCCTTGTTTCTTGGAGCATATATTATAGCTATGAGAGTTCTCTTTGTGATCTGAAGGTGACGGAGATGAGGTACAACAAGCATTACTAGAATGGACTAGGCAGAGGACTGTGCCTAACGTGTTTATTGGGGGAGAACATGTTGGTGGCTGCGACAGTAAGAATCATCAACTTATCCTCTTTATCTTTCATATATTTTCCTTAAAACTTGCCTGCAGCAGCTGTGGCATTTGTTTCTTGTCGTGTAGGCGTATTAGAGAAGCATCAACAGGGAAAGCTACTTCCCATGCTGAAGGATGCCGCTGCTATTCCCAACAATCCTGCCAAAGTCTAGAAAACAGTAGTTGTTAAGCTGACAATAAAAATGAAGTTGAGAGTGCTGTAACTTAACTGCCTCCTCTCCTCTAGTTTGGGTTGTTTAATAAGACGTTGGATTTCAAGTTCCTTTTTCTGTTCTTCCCTTGCCTCAGTCTCCTAAACATTTCCTTTTAGTACCTATTTTCCATTTTTAACTTGCCATCTGTTCCGTTGGGAAATATATATTGTAGATTCGCGTGTTTCCGGCAAGAGTAAATTTGTCACTTGTGTCTATTTCTTCCTTTACTAATTCACAATGGAGAAGATGATCTGAACTTGCATTTAAACATGAAAGAACTTGTAATTTGTGATAAGAAATGAGTAAAAATTACTAGTATAGTTAATCTAACAATAATGATTTTGTCAAAGATAAGAGAGGTTAGTGTATGTTGAATATTATATCTTCTATGCCTTTTTAGAATCGAATCATATTCCAACAAAGCACATGATTTTATCTTTGGGCTTAGACTCAAGTTACTCTTCTTTCACCTGGAGCATTAATTCTCCATGTTTTTAGTATTGGTATTATTTGTCTACAATAAATTGATATATTCTAGAAAACAAAGACAATTTTTTTAATTTACTCATAATAATTTTTTGACTGTACAAAACAAGGAACAATCTTTTTCTCATCTTCTCTAATAGAGTGGTGTATCTATTAAAAAATTAAAATTAAGCCCAAAGATAAGGTATCATTTTGGACCATTACATTTCAGATAGATCTCCGATTCGAGAATCAAGGGTTTTCTTCCATAGCTTGAGATAGATTTAGGCAATGGCACGAAGGATGCCTGATTGGTCGGAACTTCAAGATGATTTGCTTGCTTTCATAGCTAGGCGTTTGAATCTGATTGAAGATTACTCAAGTTTCCGAACTGTCTGCAAATCCTGGCACTCTGCAGCTACTAAGAACAATTTTAGCAGTGACCTACCTAGAGTTCCATGGCTGATGTTAGCTGAAGAGGAAGACAACACAGATGGAAGTTCCTGTCGAAAGTTCTTCAGCCTCTATAATGGCATGATTTTGAAGAAGAAGATCCCAAAAGCTAGCAGACAAAAATGTATGGAGTCTATGGGTTGGCTTATCACAATCGGAGAAGATGAGGGTGAAGTTAGTCTATTACATCCTTTCTCCGGTGTTCGGATCGAATTGCCCCATCAAAATACCACCGAAGATTATAGAAGACGCCAGACGGGCAACCTATGTACTTTTTTTAATAGAGCAGTTTTGTCAGCTAGTCCTTCACATACATCCGATTACATCCTCATGGTCATTGATGGAGGCAAAGGTTATATCAGTTTTTGGAAACCAGGAGATTTGAGATGGAACAGGATTATCTTGGACCAAAGCATTCACCCTGCTGCAAGTGGTCTTGATGTGGTATATTTTAATGGCTACTTTTATGGCGTAGATCGATTGGGCCGCATCATAGTTTGTGATGTTTCTGGCTCTCAATCCAGTAGAAGTCATATGGTAGCTAAGATACCATTTGATCTTCTTGAAGTTGCAGAACAATTGTACATCCTAGAATCACTAGGATCATTATTTGTAGTTTTGCGCAATGGAGTCCATCTAAGGTACTTCCGAGATGATTGCGACAGGATTCCACTTACCTTCATACGTTTTGAAGATGAAGATGGAGAGGAAGACCTAACATATGGAACAACAGATTTTCGTGTTTTCCAGGTTGATTTAGCTTCTGGCAAAGTGACAGAAACCAGGGAATTAGGGGACAGAGCTTTTTTTGTGGGTTATAATGCTTCTCTTTCAGTCCAAGCTTCTAAATTTCCAGGAATCAAGCCCAATCATATTTATTTTACAGATCATTATTTTGGATCATACCTAGCCTATGAAGAAGGAGGAGGGTTTGACATGGGGGTGTTCAACTTAGCAGAAGGAAGTATCCAGCCGCATTACAAGGGTGTTTCCCTGAGTCGTATTAGTCCTCCAACTTGGGTCACACCAACTCTATATTGAGTTAGACACCTTCCTTTATTTACTCTATTTATTATGCTGCTGTATGTTCTTGTTTTACCATGATAGTGAGTAGTGACTATTTTTAAACAATTACAGCCTCCAGATGAGTGATATATCATGTATGTTCTCAGATAATTTGATTACAGATACTCCCATTAGTTGTTATACTTCCTTGCTTCCAATTATGTTGTGTTGGAATGCGAGCACTAAGCAAATAAATTAATTATAATTAATAGTCACTGCCTTATCGCCAAAGAAAACAATTAACAAGAATTTAAGCAAAGAAACTGTGAAAATAAGGTATTATAGCCTATTACAATGTGCAAATAGGGAAAAATCATGATTTCAAAGGGGTTTAAATATCATGATTTTGCTGCAACAGCTGCTTCTTTCTCTAATCTGTCACGATAGTTCCAAATATTGTAATATCAGAATAGTCTTCATTGTATAAGGTTGCAAACTGTTTCTTTTAAACCTTCATTGACCATGTTAATTTACTTTTTATCTACCGCGCAAAGCGGTTAGATTCACTAGTTTTGATTTGTATAATGAGGTCGAAAGTGCCCAAAACATGTGTTTTACAAATATGAATTGAAATGTACAATGTTAAACGGTTAGAAGATTTAACGCTCTCAAATATTTTTGGCGTTGCAATTACCAATGCAATAGATCAGCTTTTAAGTTTCCAATTTTTCATTCTAACTTCTTGAGTTTGGTATATAACTTTGTCTAATATTTTAGAACTTCAAATTAATTTTGTCTAATATTTTATAACTACAAATTAAATTAATCAAATTTTCATATTAGTAATTAATATTTTTCATAACAAGATCTAAGGTAGCAAGTATATCACAAACACATAATTAGCATCTTATTAACTTGTAATAACTCTTTTGGATATAAATAAGTATTACTACTAGTAAATGTTCATCATGAAATTACATATTTTACATTTTATAATAATAATAATATCATGGCTATAAAGTATAATTAAGAAAATAAGAAACTCAAAACTAACTTTTTTTCATACTTGAATTTTTGTTTTATAACTTCATAGATAAAATATAATTTAAAAAATAAAAATACAATGATATGAGAATTTACTGTATCATTAGATCCATTGACAATCAAAATACATTGTTACATGCTCCGCATTGGTAACTTTTGAATTATCATTTTATATCTTTCCAAATAAGTACAATTAAGAAAATGAGAAAGAGTATGATAGTTAAGAAATTCAAAAACAAAATGAGACTAACTTACTGGTGTACCATAACATATGTCAGATACATCTAAAAATGTTATTGCATATTTTACCTTGGTTATGGTGTGCTACAAGGATAACACTTGGGGTGGGATTAGGCAGAGCATATTAAATTGGGGCAAGTGAATTGGCATAACATATCCAGATTCTATTATTATTAATAGGGATAACACTTATGCTACTTTGAGTATATATGGGTTGTGCCCTGGTGGATGAAGACCCAGATTCTGTTACTATTTTTTCATTGGACAACATTCCACATGAGCCAAAGTAGGATATTGTCCATTGTGAACATTTTGGGTATATTAAAATACATGGATTTTCTTTATACAAGCAACACTATCAAAATAAGCAAAAAAATAATAATACTGTATATACAAGTTAAAATAATTTAAAAAATATATATATTAAAATTTTAAATATGATTTGCAAAATTCTTATATTTTGCATTGATCATATAATCACGAAGAGACTAGGATATTCCGATTACATGTAGTGCATAATAAATAGAGAGAAAACTATGATATTTTTGCTAGGTACACAGTTGTAGATGAAATCCTTCCAAACATTGAAATTTGAAGCCCGCATTTACAGAAGAAGCACATCTTTTATTTCGCAAAAAGTTTAAAAAGATTTGGAGCCCTTGTGAATTTAAAAAGAAGCACTTCTTTAATTTCATAAAAAGTTTAAAAAGATTAGATCATTGAAGAAATTTTGATAATGCCAAAACGATTATGGGAAAGAAGTTGAGGATGATCTTAAAAAGATTAGATCGACAAGAAATTTTGATAATAAAAATAATGAATATGTGAAAGTTGGGATAAATGGGATAGGGTCGGGCTGAACCTAAATAGGACAATGTCTTAAACGGGCAAGAAAAAACCTTAGCAGAAATAGACTTAACCTGCCCCGTCTCGCCCCGTTGTCATCCCTAATGTGCTGCAAAATTCGTTGAACACTAAAAAACATTCTCACATAACACATCTATCATAACATTAAATAATTTAATTTTAATCAGATTGAGAATAGCTTTAAAATTAGATTTTTGAGTTGGAGTAAGAAGAAATGGATAGATAAGAGGAAAAAATACTAGTGATTAGCAGGGGCAGATTTAAGAAAGATTATGTGGTGGGACGTGATACTGCTTCCTCGATTTTTTTTACAATATATATATATATATATATATATATATATATATGGTTAAAAGGAAAAAACAGATAAAAAAGATATATACTACAAGGTGACACTTCTTAAGTAAAAGTTGTATGTAGCTCCCTCCACGGTCCCACGAAGATCTCTACGTACTTGTCCAGGATAAGTGAGATCTTCGGCCTGCGTGCCTGGAAGGTCACAGAGAATTGACCTATTCATAGAGTGATCCTATGATCGATATAGGATAACGGCTCACGCTTTTTTAATGATCCTTTTTATGGTTATGCCGGCAATGATAGGTGGATTTGGTAATTGGTCTGTTCCAATTCTGATAGGTCGTTGGGGGTTCCTTTTCCTCAACCAATTCGATTGTGTTAGCCTTGGTCTAACATTTTCAGTTGGTAAGTCTTTGAATTTCTAAAATTAAGGTTGCAGGCTCAAATTTGCACAACCTGATACCGCTGACGAAAAAATTTTGTGTACGGTAATTAGGTTCCTAACGTCAACTAGGCACTAATGAATTAGTTGCAAATTCTTTTTTAACCAGAAACGAATAATAACAGTGTGTAATCTCAAAATTTATTTTTCAAGTATTATGCGGCGTTGTTAATATTGGGCATTTAGTTATCTCATTATTTTTCTACTTTGATTATCTAATTGAAAAAGGGAAAAAAGCTCTTGTTCTAAGAATTGGTGATATTTTCTCAACGTTTCTTTTTTTATCAAATTCAATAGCAGTAACAACTCCAAAATTGCGAATGGAATTATTGAAGATATATCAATGAAATTGTCAAAATATATGCTCTTTTGGCTTGTAATAAGATTAGGAATGAACAAGCATGAAAATCGAGTAGTTTTCTTGTAGTGAGGCATTGATGAGTAAAATGCAAAAAGACTTGCGTTAATTCACATATATAAAATTCTTTCTCTATAAATGAAGTTCAGTTGTGTTTTGATATTTTAAAAAGACATAATACATCAATGTACTCTTTTAATTTGATTTCATTTCATATTTATGTCCTCTAATTTTAGGTGTATACAAATAAATATTTAAACTTGTATAAATTTGAACAAATAAATACACGCGTTCTCAAGTAAACACTTAAACTTTATATAAATTTAAACAAACAGATACACGCGTCCTATGTGACATCCTACACAACAATTTTTATTTTACGTGATATCCTATGTGTATTATGTCACGAGTAACATTTGTTATATCTTTGGAGATGATGATCTGAACTTGTATACGAGTAATAACTTAAAATTTGTGAAAAGAAATGAGTAAAAAATAGTATAGTTAATCTCACAATAATGATGTCAAAGAAAATAGAGTTTAGTGTACGTTAAATATATTATAATTGGTTGAATGGTAAAACAAAACATTCTTCTATACCTTTCTAGAATCAAATCCTATTCTAACAAAGCAGATAATTTTATCTTTCCGTCTAGACTCAAAGTCGTTCTTGTTCATTCCCATGGAGCATTAATCATCCATGTTTATAATATTTGTGAAGTTTATCCTCAAACTTGTCTTTTCTTTTTGAGATTGAAAGATTCATTATGTCTACGAAATTTTCTTTTATTACAACGTTATTTATATATAAAAAAAAGATATAATTTTAAAAATAAGATAGTTTTTTTTTTATTTAGCTATAATAAAATCTTTTAAATAGTATAAAACAAGAAACATTCTTCTTCTTACCTTCTTATCTATTTATGAAATTTTCCCTTCTAACTAGCTAGGTTTTCTTCCTTTAGCTTGATTACTTGAAATAGTTTCCGGCAATGGCACAAAATATGCCTGATTGGTCTGAACTTCAACCTGAGTTGCTTGCTCTCATAGCTAGGCGTTTGAATCTGATTGAAGATTACTCCATTTTCCGTACTGTCTGCAAATCCTGGCACTCTGCAGCTACTAAGAACAATTTTAACAGTGACCTGCCTAGAGTTCCATGGCTGATGTTGGCTGAGGAGGATGGCAGTTCCTCCTGCCGAAAATTCTTCAGCCTCTATAATGGCATGATTCTGAAGAAGAGGATCCCGAAAGCTAGCAGAAAACTATGTATGGAGTCTCTGGGTTGGCTTATTACAGTCGGAGAAGATGAGGGTGAAGTTAGTCTATTACATCCCTTTTCCGGTGTTCAGATCGAATTGCCCCATCAAAATTCTACCGCAGATTACAGTGGACGCCGGACCGGCAACCAATGTACCTTTTTTAAGAAAGCAGTTCTGTCAGCTAGTCCTTCTCATACATCCGACTACATTCTCATGGTCATTGATGGAGGTTATATCAAGTTTTGGAAACGAGGAGATTTGAGATGGAACAAGATTATCTTGGATCTAGGCACTCGCTCACCACGTTTTGCACGTGGTCGTGATTTGGTATATTTTAATGGCTACTTTTATTCAGTAGATTGTTTGGGCCGCATCATAGTTTATGATGTTGCTGGCCCTCAATACCCTAGAAGTCTATTGGTTGCTCAGATACCATTCGGTCACAGAGGTTTTGTAGGGGAATTGTACATCCTAGAATCACTAGAATCATTATTTGTAGTTTCGCGCAAGGGAGTCCATCTAAGGTACTTCAGAGATGGAACAACAGATTTTCGTGTTTTCCAGGTTGATTTAGCTTCTGGCAAAGGGACAGAAACCAGGGAATTAGGGGACAGAGCATTTTTTGTGGGTTATAATGCTTCTATTTCAGTCCAAGCTTCTCAATTTCCAGGAATCAAGCCAAATCATATTTATTTTACAGATCATTATTTGGGATCATACCAAACCTTTGAAGAAGGAGGAGGCTTGGACATGGGGGTGTTCAACTTAGCAGATGGAAGTATCCAGCCGCATTACAACGGTGTTTCCCTGAGTCGTATTAGTCCTCCAACTTGGGTCACACCAACTCTATATTGAGTCAGACACCCTCCTTTATTTACTCTATTTATTATGCTGTATGTTCTTGTTTGACCATGATTGTGACTATGTTTTAAACAATTACGACCTCCATATGAGTGATATAGCTTCTCAGAAAAAAGTAGGAAAAAAAAACATGGTCAAGTAGTTGAAAGTGAATTATTGATGTAACCATTGTTCATTTTAAAAATTCAAGTTGATTGAAGTGTCTTCTATTCTCGCTTTGATTTCGAATATTTAACCACTATACGCGTTTCTCAATCTTGATCTTCCACAAATTTGGAACCTGTAATGTTCAATGTGGTACTTTCCATCAACTTCCAAGCAGAAAGTGGACCAACACGAAGAGCTGATTCCTCCACCCTCTACAAAACAGAGAACAAATACAGTAAACTTATCTAGTTTTTATTCAAATAAACACCGAGGAAGAATCCTTACGTTGGACACATGTATCCACAGATCAAGTGTCCTCAGAGCTTGCCAGAAAACAGTGTGTCACGAGCTAATGACACTCCTTCGGTCAGATTTTTAACATGTCCACTGACCAGTAAAGCTGCTGTTGCATTTAGTGTCTGCTAATAGTTTAACATAGTGTGTGAGAAGTTGGGAAAGAAAGTCGTTAAGCATTGAAACGAGCTCAATAGTTGCTTCATAAGATGTGTATGCACCAATTAGAGTAACACGGTAAGGAGATTTAGGTATAGCAGGATAAGACTTACAAATGCATCAGCAATCAACCCTTTTTCTCCTGAGAGCACACATCTAAGCATCTCGGCGTTGTATTATGGACCTCCACCTCTCAGGCTTTCAAGAGTGCAGCGAGGGATGCCAAAGTCCACTAGAGAGAGACAATCTTGAAAAACTACTGAAAAATGTTAACTGGTTCTGATATTGACAAGTTACTTACATGGATCGAAAGAGAATTTCTCAATTTTATCTGGAGTAACGTGACATCAAGGACTAATCCAGGACCTGTAGAATTACCTCATTATTATGAACAGATTGTGACTTAACAGATTTACTTTCTTTTTAGTAAGTTACACTTAAAAGGATTTACTATAATTGCAACAGGGAACAATACCAAGAGGACTCATCTCATCTAGACCTTCCGAATGAACAACAACCAGTGCTCTTTTCATGAAAAACCTTTCGACTGCTTTAGCCATTTTTGTCGACCTAAAGAAAGGACGTGTTGATTACAAAATAGATCTACATAACACTTGGCACAACCACTGGAACAAGTCGAACAACTATGAACTAGAAGTCAAAACAGAGAAGATGAGAAGAATTAGCACCTCAATATTCAGAATGATGTGTACAAGATTCTTATAACCACATACTCGGAGCTTTATCGTGACAGTGTAATTGGAAGTTGAAAATTTACCAGGTTTCCTTTGTAAACTCCAACTACAGCAAAAGGCACTCTTGCTGGATTTAACATGGGTCCAAGGATGTTGAATACAGTCTTTACTTCCAGCTTTTTCCTAATAGGTCTAACAATCTTCATTGCCGGATGGTAGATTGGAGCCATCATGAAATCTATTCCAGCCTGAGCTACACACTCTTTTACCTCCTGAACCCAGTAACATTGACAAATAACCAGCATCATCAAATTAGAAAATCAAAGATAATGAGTAATTCTACTGATCCATAGGCTATAGGACAGTTTTTAGTTAATTCTTGACTAGTAAGAAAGCACGATGATCTTAGGCTGCCTATAATTTCTTTTAAAGGTTATATTTTTATCAATTTGAGGAATTTCGTATACAAGCAGTTGTTCACAACAAATTTTCGTAGGCGCTGATTGAAGAAGCACAAAGCTCTATCGATCAGTATGGAGATGTGGGAACTACTACTGATTCTTTCTGGTGTTTTTTCTTTTCTATCATCCTCATGCTTTCTCTTTCTTGTCTTTTTTCCAATTGATTCAATATTAGTATATGTTGTATAATTTGGGTTCTACCGAAATTTTACTTCGAAAATATGTCTATAAAATATCTAATTTAGTGAAGAGAGGCGACAACCGACAACTAATTGGATTGTATGAAAGATGTACCAATGTTATTAGTCGGTTACCACTCCGAAAGAAATTAAAACTTCAAAAATCTACACAATTTGGCATGTCAATCTCACCACTTAATTAAGTTAATAAGAACATATCACGTTAAGTTTTACATTTTGCATAAGTTAATGCATTGGAACTAGTGAACAATGTATACGTATTGCTTATAGAATAAAAAGGCCTAAATTGAGACAAAGGTGGAAATTGCAATAAGAATAAGCAGGTTTATATTTAGTTGCAAAATCTTAAATTATACAGTAACTTGAAGAATCAAGTTTTCTCTATATGTGTACATACATAACAATTACTAACATACAATCAATTTCTTCATTCTTCATACAAAACTTGAGATGATGCAACATTGATATAAGTTGCACTTATATGTTCTTCTGGTAAACACATTTGAACTACGTCTCTGTCTTCTTTGGATCAATCAAACACTAGAAAGCGACTTTTTCCCTACAGTCCAAGTGTGGCGGAGAGCTTCCAGATGGCAATACATTCAACAAGTCCTACATATTATCAGAGCAGGATTCATGTTAACAAACTAAATCAGTTTTCAAATATTTAACATTTGTTAGTGCATACCATACCTGTTAGTGCATCCATTAACGACCAAGTTCTTCTGTGCGAAGCTGAGTGGACTGCACAAAATGTTCAATTTTGTTAAACATGTGTGATGCAGAACTTGGAGTAATATTTTGACTCTCGAGAAGCAAAAAATTCAACATAGATTAAGAGGAAGGGAAATGTGTATGATCAATCACCTGAATCACAATTGGAAGTAGAATTCCATGATCCACACATACACAAACTGCTAAAATCATTAACATCATAGCCACAAGATCCTCCTGTTGCCTCACAAGCTTTACAAAATGAGTCATCTCCTTCAACTGAATACTTCACTCTTATCCCATAAGACCATCCATGAGGTCCATCCACTCTCAATGGAGCTAAACTATAAGCACTACTATACCCTTGACAACTAAGTTTAGTCAAATTAATAGCCTTAATAGCTTCAAACGAAACTGCACAACAATCAGGTGGACCTGATCCATACACTACCCCCACTTTTTTTGGCCCAATAATATCCCAGCCCGGACACCCATAATACTCCTCACAGCCCATCCCGGAAACATTCCGGCACGGCAAATGCTTCCCCGGAAACCCTTGGAACAGCGGCGATTCCGCCGTACAACCTAGCAGCATAAACACATTATCCGCCGTAGGGTTTAAATACGGCTCTCGCCACCGCTCAACGACGAAGCCGTTGCCGCGATGGCCGAATACTATCGACGAGCAAGTTGACATGTGAGGATCGTCTAAGGTTAGGGATTCGTAAGCGTAATCAATGTCCAATACGCGATAGGATCCAGAGCTAATGTGAAGCATTAAAACATCGTTGATGCAAAAAAGGAGATCTCTGTAACCGGAATGGCCGCAGCCGGATTGAATTGCGAAAGGGTAATCTACTGTTAAGTTTCCACAGTATGATCTGCATTTATGTGCATTGCCATGGCTGTAAACTCCATGGAGTACTGATAGAGTTTGAAATGTAGTAATGAAGAAAAAAACTGTGAGTATATGTGCCATGGCAGAGAGGAAGAAGAAATGGAAGAAGTATAATGGCTCTCAAAGGAGAAAAACAGAGTAGTGTTTTGAATGATACAAAAATATATTTTTTAACTTAGAAAAAAGAAAAAGTTGATAAAGTTGATAGATACTTTGCTTGGTATGCTAAGAAAATGGTGATACTTCATTAACAGAGCTAAGTTAGACTGCATGATTTATGGGGTGGGACCTGTGGCGGAGCTATGGGTGTAAGGGGTTCATTTGGATTCTTAAGTTAAGAAATATTTTATATAAGAGTATATATATTAGATGTTATTTTAATATATCTTAGTGAAAATCACGACTTACGTCAAACTTTATTCACATGGTGAGTTGAATATGTTAAAGGGGATTTCTACTATTTGGTGAGGCCATTCTGGTTTCTTTAAGAAGATTTGGGTAACTTTTTAGCTTTTCTGTTTTCTTTAACTTGCTTTTAGGCACTGCAGACTGGTAGAAATTTTGAGGGACATGATGTTGTTTTTGAGTGTTGGATTGCTTTATGGTGAAGTTTAATTTAGAATAAGGATCATAGTGATGGTGATTGACCCCAAGCTAGCTTTTGTGCATGTTGGGCCATTATAATTTATTTATGTATGAAACATCAAGTAGTGCTGTTTTTCCTTTTTAAATTTAAACCATTATATCTTTGTTTAAGATAATTTTATGGATTTGGAACCCTGCGGAAAATCTTAAACAAGTTCGGTGTGACGAGCTCGACTAAGAAGTTATAATTGGTAGGGAGAATGTTTGCCTTGTGGGATACCATCTGCTACACCAACTCAGTCACTCTTACGGGTTATACTATTATTAAGTATAATGTATTGTGTGTCAGCCGGCCATTTGAGTTAGAAAAGGATTGTACTCGCTATGACATTCTCGTCCGGCTACATACAATGACCTTATAAACTATTACTATTAGGACACAAAATCTTTGGCCATAACGAATTTAAAAATCATTTTTTAATCAAATTTGTGTGATTTCTGTCTAAATGCATGTATAAAAAGGAAGATGCAGTTGGGAGATATGCATATACAGTGAGCACTTAGAAAGAGGAAAATTAACTAAGGGAAATAAATAACAATGGCATCATCCAAGGCTATAATCAACACAATTCTTGCTCTTAGGATTTTTACTCTCTTGTTCTGTGCTGCTTCCCTTGCGTTAATAATTCTTACTATGCTCCGTGGCAGCATCAAATCCGAATTCTGCGGTATCAAGAGCTATAGGTATGTGCTTGGTGCCGCAGCTGGTGGAATTTTGTACTCATTGATTCAGCTGCCTTTCGCAATGTATCATGCAGTAAAAGAGAAGAGATTGATTAGAGGCAAATTTCTCCCAATGTTCGACTTCTACGGAGATAAGTTATTCCCTCAAAATTTGCTAAATTATTAATGTGGTTTTAATAATTTTGACAAATGAAGTGGTGAATGAAATGAATTATAATTGGCATATTGCAGGTAATAGCATTTTTGTTGGCAAGTGGTGTTGGTTTGGGATTTGGAGTGAGCTTTGAATTCAAGGATGTAAAAAAAGGAGAAACCATAGAGAGGGTCTATATTACAAGTGGTCTGCTTCTGGCTGGATTTATAACTATGGCTATACTTACCATTCTTACTTCCATGAACCGCAAAGCAAGAGGCTTCTAGTTAGCTAGTGACTTTTTCCTCCCTTAACAAAAGATATTGATTTCGAGTTGTGGGTATGGAAAAACCTTCGGTAGGGGGGAGTGCTTCCCTTTAATGAGTCATATGCAGTGTATATTCAAATTAATCGGGCTCCAATGTGGATACTGAACACCGAATGAAAAATTAATTGTTTTTAATGGAAATGTTCTTTAGTGATTCAAAAGTTCATATAAATCACTAATTCCTTCAACGTAACTATCATATACATAAGCGTATTTTACGTAAATTCACTCGTCTAACTAATTACCTAAATCACTTGTCTAGTTAAGAAGGGAACTATACAATAATACAAACACTCGACTATTCTTCCCATGACAATGAATCCATATAAGAGAGAGAAATTTAACCAACTAGTACTAGAACTATAATCACAATCCTTAACATAAAAATATACAAATAAAACAAGGAAAAATTACAAAAATCACACATTTTAGTTTACTTATTACCATTATTCCCTATAAGTTTTACAAATCTCCAAAATTCCTCATTTTCGCGCATCAGATTAATGTATCAGCGCTTATATTATTGTATCTCGCACATCAGATTAATGTATCAGAGCTATATAAGTGCTGATACATGCGCGAGATACAATAATATAAGCGCTGATACATTAATCTGATGCGCGAGATACAATAATATAAGCGCTGATACACTAATCTGATGCGCAAAAATGAGGGATATCTGTAATGTATCAGAGCTATATAAGTGCTGATACATGCGCGAGATACAATAATATAAGCACTGATACATTAATCTGATGCGTGAGATACAATAATATAAGCGCTGATACATTAATCTGATGCGCGAGATACAATAATATAAGCGCTGATACACTAATCTGAGGCGCAAAAATGAGGGATATCTGTAATTATATATTTTTAAGGGATAAATTATAATTTTGCCTTAAAAGTATGTGATTTCTGTAATTTTCCCATAAAACAAATTATTTCAATTTTTTATTATTATGTATACATTTTCCCCAAATTAACGGACTCTTGAATCGGCCCACCATAGAGATATTAGGGTCGGTCCGGATCAAGGCCCATTTCCCTGACCTAAATCAAAGGGTCGGATCTGATCCGGCCCGACGTATTCAGTCCGAATCGAACATCCAAGTCTGCCTATTTTCAGCAAAGGGCGAGAGTACTGTAATCATCGATCAATTACTCCATTGTCTGAGTTGCGATTTCAAAGAGAGAGGCGTCTTCTCCGTTATCAATGGAATCCTCAGATATAACTGAAGAGGAAACGGTACCTAATGTGAGTTTTTTTTTTTCCATTTATCTCTCTATATTTGAATTCGTTTATGATTACTTAATGATTAGCTATTAGGTCACTGCTCCTTACTGTTCTTGTTGTTAATATCTTCTACTTGATGGATTCTCCAATCTGAAATTGCTCGAAAAACCCCCCACTCCCGATACTCACTTCCTCGGTTCCAATTTCTTTGTGTGATTTTGACTTGACACAGAGTTTTAAGAAAGGAGAGAAGACTTTTGAATCATGAAAGATACATAGAATGTACCAAAATATCCAAACGTGCTACGTGAAAAGTTAAAATTAAACAGTCACTCAAAAAGGAAAGATTTTTTGAACGGGATAAAAATGATTGTTTTTGAAATATATAAACATATTGAAACTGTGGGAATACTTCAATTTCCTAAGTGGGGCACTCAAAAAGAGTTGGTTATTGATTGGGAATTTGGGATTTTTTTCATGATTGTTTTTAAGTTCTAATCTTTACTTCATTGAAGGATTTGCTGTTCCAGATACTGTTTGGTTCAGCTAGCTGTTGTAATTGTCTTCCTTGTTATTCCTGTCCCCTGCCAATGCTGTTTCATTGATATTCTTTATAATCGGAAGTGTTTATTTCCTTGTAACTCAGCTTATGGGTGCAAAGTATAGAACAATCCCAAATCCCATAAAGGGGAAGTGTTGATGCTGTTTGACACCAGCGTATAACTAGCTAAACTATGAGGTATCTATATATGTGATGCTAATCAGTTGGGAATTGAGCTAAAATGTTGGAACTGTCGGACTACTTTATTTGACTCCTCTTGGTTTTGCTTAAGCTAAACTTACCAGTTTGAAATTTTTATTTACCTCTCTATGTATGTATCTTTTTTTTCAGAGATCTCAGAAAATGGCAGGAACTGTAAACTGGGGCACTGCTACTGTAATTGGGGTATTTGCTGGCCTTTTTTATGGAGGTAGCAAGGAGGCTGCTGCTTCTGTTGTCAGTACTTCTTCCTATGTAGCTATTATGTTGTGTTTACTGATTTCCTGTTGTTGCATGTTTACTTAGGAAGATAACTTGGAGAGAGGAAATGCTAATTGTGAAGCTTTGGACAGTAGTAATGTTACATTGTCTAAATAGTAAATGGGAAATCAAACTACATATTTAGGAGTACAAATAAATTTTGAATTGTTTTTCAAAAAACAACAGAAGAAAACTCATGGTTTTCTTGAATCTCCCAGAACTTATGACCATGTTAACCTTGCATATGTGGATCTTCTTCTACAATTACATCGAAAAGGGGACAAAAAGATTCTGTTACCTTTACAATTTTTTCGGAATGTATCATGGCTCTATCTATTAATTAGAAGATCCATCCCCCGAGGTAACTGGACATGATAATTTTTAATCATTCAGCTCGAGCAAGAATAAAAAGAACTAAATGAATCCATACATCCACCTGTATAAGGTTGATTTCCTGCTGTGTTTTCCCAGAGGTCTGGAGGAAAGCTGCAATTAATAGGATTTCCCTAGTTCTCCCTTCCCAAAGGGAAGAGCGTGAAATTATTTTCTTTCTGCATGGATGGTTCCTCTAGTATTCATGGGACTTTCTCCTCTTTTAACAGAGCAAGGATGCTGAGGTGATGTTAAAGCTTGGGAGTACACCAGATAAGCGTGAACAGTATCGGCTCATGAGAGATGCTATGGAAAAAAGATTTATACGAGTCACTCGGGGCTCAATAGTTGGTGGAATACGCCTTGGAATGTTCACTGCTGCTTTTTATGGATTGCAGAATCTGCTTGCTGAAAAGCGTGGTGTGCATGATGTTTATAATGTTGTTGGAGCTGGTTCTGCTACAGCTGCAACATTTGGTCTAATTAGTAAGTGGCAGAGTTTGGGTATCAGAACCTCCATCAGACTATCTCCTCCGCCACTCACTGTTTGTTTATGATTCCAGTGCCAGGATCACTCCAATGGCGTGCGAGAAATGTGATGTTGGGTTCTGCTTTGGGTGCTGCAGTTTGCTTCCCTCTTGGTAATAGAATGTGACCTGCT